TAAAAGTCATACCTAATTCAGGTGTGCGGATTTCAAATCTGATCGGAAAGATACAATTTTTGTTTTCAAATGATTTTTTTAATTTATTTTTTGTCTGAAAGTTTATAAAGAACGGTTTATATATATATCAATATGCAATAGACTGCTCCTTTGAAAATAACACTTAAGACAAAAAACATAATATCTTTTTTGTGACCTTAGCTTATCACATCATAAACTGAAGTATATTATCGCTTTCTTCCTCCCTACGTAGCAGAGAAGTGGGGAGATAATTTTAAAAAATCCTGGTTAGGAATATGACGTATTAAATTGCATAAAAACTGTAGAGTAGAACCGATTGCAGATCAGCGATATCCATTCAAAATTCTTATGCAACAGAAAGAAAAAAATATTTCTTAATTAATTTAAAAGTTTTATTTTCTTCTTCTTTAAAATTTTTGTTCATTTAGTTTATGATGCTCAACATACGTTTTTTTTTTAATCAGTCATTTGTTTAGATATTTTAATTGTCTGTCATTTTATTAATTGCTTTTTTTATGTTAATTTCCATTCATTTAATTGTGAGTCTCTTGTGTCCTGTTTCTCCTTTTTACTTTTAATAAATTTACCAAAATTTCATCATTTAAAAAAAAAGAAATTTAAATATAAAAGAAAGGTAAAAAAAAAAATTATGGCTACTTCTTATTAAATTTCATTTTGATGTTTGGTGAATTGTCGTTCTAAATATTTTATATTCTAAAATTTTTTATGAATCAAGTAAATGCGTACCATATTCTCTGCAGGAAGCGTCAGGTAGTCGAAAATGTCATTTTCTCATGTTGTTTATTTAATGCAACGAGCAATGAAATAATATTAATAATTTTTTCTAGTGAAATATTGCTGCTTACACTCTATTAGCTATTGTAATTATTTATGTATTTCTTTGATAAAAATATACATTTTAAAAAAATAATTTAAATTTCATGTAAAATGGAATTTACTTTAATGCAAATTCAAATATTTTTAATCGATAAATTGAAAAAAAATGACACATAATGCGAATTTAAATATTTTTTAATCGATAAATCAAAAAAAAATGACACATAATAAATTTTTTGAATAAAGAATTAAAAATAATGAGTTATTTATTATTTTCTCATGTTGTTTATTTAATGTAACGAGCAATGAAATAATATTAATAATCTTTTTTATTAAGATATTGCTGCTTACACTCTATGAGCCATTTATATATTTTTTTTGATAAAAAATATAAAGTTAAAAAAAATAATTAAAATTTTATGTAAATAGAATTTACTTTAATGCAAATTTAAATATTTTTTAACCGATAAATTGAAAAAAAATGACACATAATCATATATGGCAACGTTACTTTTAAAAAGTAACGAGTAAAAAGTAAAAAGTTCTTATCTTAAAAAGTAACGAGTAAAAAGTACAAGTAAAAGTACAAGTACTAAACAAAAAAAGTAACGATTTAAAAGTACATTTCTAGGAAATCGAAAATTCAAAGTAACCTAAAATTTTATTGAATAATATTCTTATGTTCTTTAATGTTTTTGCAAAATTGTTGTTATTTATTTAATTATTTTTAATTTTGAAAGTTATGGATATTAATTTATTTTTAAATTCGGAGGAATATTATAATATAGTTTTATAATATAATCGTATAATATAATTTTAAAATCAAATATAATTTTAATATCAAACTTTTTATGGATTTGCACGAAAAAGAAATTTTATCTATTGACTTTAATTTTTAGTTTATTATTTTTGTTTAATTAAATTACCATTGATTTAAAATTGTTTTACTCTATAGAAACGCGTTTTAAAAGCACAAACATAAACAAAGCAAACACGGGATTTCAGATAGCTTTGTGATCTTTGAGCTAGTAAAAAATAATTGAATGTGCAGTATAAGTTGAAACAGAACAGTCTACAGTTTTATTTGTAACAATGGCTAATGCTGAAGTCATGCGAGAAAATCATTTTCCGAACATTTCTGCCTAACGGAATAATTAAAATTTGTAAACGAATTTTAGTATCAGCGGCTAAATTAATACCTTCGAGTTTTCAAGAGTTAAAATAGTAATTATAATAGTTTTCAATAGCACAAATAGTTCTGAAGTTCTTAGAGATTTGACTGGGCTTTGTTTGACAAGGTCGGGCATAAACATAATTTTAGTAAAAAATGTACTAGGTAAAAATGTATTTAGTAAAAAATGTATTAAGACAAAAATGTATTATTAGTGAGTTCAAAAAGAAAACTGAAAAACGTAATAACAAAATCCAACATTTTTTATTTAAAATGTATTAAATAAATGCATAAAACTCGAAAATGAATTAAAATAACTTGCTAATTAATATTTTTAATCATTTTGCAAAATAATTGCATTTCGAAAGTGGTTTCACTGAGTCTGCTACGAGAATTTTTCAGAACGTGCTTAGCCACGCTGAATAAGAGCTCCACGGGAGCACTAGAAGGTACTGCAGTATTATATTTCACATATAATTTTTTTACGATTGGATATCGATTCAAAATTGATATGCTTTCGGTTTCGACATTTGAGCTCATGTATGCCAGAAATTCTTCTGTCGCTGGTGATTGGCATGATATTTTCAACTTTAGAAAATTTAAAATCCCTGGGGTTTTTTTCTGTTACGTTATTACTTATAGCAGGGTAGCGTTATTATTACTTATAGCATTACGTTATTACTTATAGCAGCTTGGACAATTCTTTCCAATTTTTTTGTAGCCTCCTCCCTAGCTTTTTCTTCCAACCAATTAAATTTGATTCAAGGTACCAGACCTGCAAACAATAAACCGTCCTGCGATTTCACATCGCGAAACCTTTCGCGCACGCAATCTAAAATAGCTTTGTTTAAAGGTTTACAAACTGTTGTTTTAATAATGTTACTGTCGAGAAACTGCGACGAACAATCTAACTTTAAAATTTTAACTGTAACTGTAGCGAGGCGGAAGTTTTGTAAACAGAAGGGGAATGATCGCCTCAGAGAGAAGAGGTTGATATGTTATGCTCACTTCAAAAAAGCTTAATGTTTCGTTTTCAATTATGTTTCTTGTTACGTTTTGTGTTAAATATTAAATGTTTTAAAAAGAAATAGTTAACTCCTTTAATGGCAGAACTTGTTACTTTTTATTATTGACATCTTTTTATTTTTACAAGAGTAGCGATCCTTTTTAAAGGGAAAGAAAAGCTTTCCATCTTCTCACCGGGAAAATTGAAGAAAAACAGAAATTGCAGGTAAGGTAATTTTGCCTTTACCTTTAATTAAGAATTATTATTGAATTTAATTGAGTTGATTGATAAATAATTTATTACAGTTACTATGAAGCTCTTCTTCAAAAGAGCCGTCTTTTCCCTTTCAGGAATGACAATTTTAAAAGGTCAAGGTATTTAAACACGAAGTTAGCTGTGAATGCATATATATTGCACATTAATTTTATAAATTAAAAAAACATAAGCATTTTTTTAATTTTTTTTTTAGAAAGCTTGCCGAGTTTTAGAAAAAAGTAACGATTTCATTCGACATTTCAGTTACAAATACTTGTACTTTTTCCCCAAAAGAGTAACGAAAGTACAAGTAAAAGTACTAAATTTAAAAAGTAACGAAGTACAAGTAAAAGTACGTACTTTTTAATTGTACCGGCGGTACAAGTAACGAAAGTAAAAGTACTGCCATATATGCACATAATGCAAATGTAAATACTTTTTAATCGATAAATCAAAAAAAAAAAATGACACATAATAAATTTTTTGAATAAAGAATTAAAAATAATAAGTAACTTATTATTTTCTCATGTTGTTTATTTAATGTAACGAACAATGAAATAATATTAATAATCTTTTCCATTAAGATATTGCTGCTTACACTCTATGAGCTATAGTAACTATTTATATATTTTTTTTTTTGATAAAAAATATAAAGTTTAAAAAATAATTAAAATTTTATGTAAAATAGAATTTACCTTAATGAAAATTTAAATATTTTTTAATCGATAAATTAAAAAAATGACACATAATAAATTTTTAGAATAAAAAATTAAAAATAAGTAGTAATTTATTATCAAAAATAATGCTGTTAACGTTTTTATAAACACATCAATTTAAATTTTTTAATCAGAAAAAAAATAATAAAGTCACTTGAGGCAAAATATTTTTAAAGTGATAGCGAATGATATCTGAAACAAAAAAGCATTTTGAGTTATTCGTGGAATTTAATTTCACGCGAAATCAAATTAATTAAATCAATAATTAAAAATTTAAACTTAACTTTTTCTACCACTAAAAACCATTTGCCCACAAAACAGAGAAAGTTGGCACCCCTTTTATTACACTTCTATGAAACAGAAAATGGTTGCAAACAAATAAAAAATGACATAAGTAAATAAATTTTTAGAATGAAAAATGAAATAATATTAATAAGTTGATAATGATTTCTAGAAAAATTCAAGAAAATACTGTTTTCACTTTATTAGGTATTAATTTAATCTTTTCAATTAAAAAAGTTTTTTTTTAAAAATATAAATTATTTTATTTCTATAAAATAGAGTGTACTTAAGTATAGTTTTAAATATTTGTGAACAAATTAAATAAATAACATGTAAATAAACTTTAAAAAAAAAAAGAAAAAAAGACCAGTGTAGAATATCCTAAGTGATTTTGTTATAAAACGCAATAAATAAATTTAAGCAACTCACATAATGTAATGCAATATACAAATCTATATAGTAAAAATATTATTTTGGAAAATTCTTTATTTTGCAATTAATTGACTGGCAATGTTAAATAGGTAGTTTCATAATATTTAGAAAAGTTTTTATATCATTATTTATTTATTTTTTTAGTTGAGATAAGGGAAATGAAAGCCTAAATAAAGCATTAATTTTCCTTGTCTCAACAAAAATAAATAGAAAATTTTCAAAATATTATTAAACTGCCTATAAAAATGCAACACAAATAAATAACATAAAAATGTCTTACTTGTACAATTTCTATTCAATGTATAGCGTTATCTTGACTCCGAAACTCGTGTTATCAATAACATACTTGACTGACTGACTGAGGGAAACTTTGAGGTCGATAACTTTTAGCTTAGGGTTGCCTTTATCGCCAAGGGGAAACTATAAATGGCGCAATTTTGCTATTTCTTGATATCCAAACGGCCAAAAATATTTTCTTTGGAGTTCCGCTACTGGAGATGTTTTTCGAATGGAATAAAATATCATTTCGAGGTTATTATATTAAATAAACCATTTTTCTATCAGCATTTGCATGTTAAAAAGTACTATTATGCTGAATTTTGAAATGGTTTGAAAAAGATCAACAAAATTATTTCAAGCCGAACTTTAGAGCCTTGTTCTAATTTTTTTAGAGCAACCTAACCGATTATTTTTTGTTCTTTATTAAATTGTTTACATTCGTATTTTATTTCATATAACGTAAATGAGTATCGATATTCCTATGTTTAGGACGAATGGAGTATTTTAGACATTATAAAGGTATGACTTAAAAGTTGATAATTTGTGTTTGTTTTTTTGAGATTCAGAAACTGTTTTCGCTCCTAAAAGTTTTTCTTTTTATTCACTCAATATTTTTTCTTTGCGAAGAACGTAATAGTTCAGCGCAGACTATTCGTAAAAAAAGAGTCACGAAATATGCTTAACTTTTGAAATGTGAAATGTTTATTTAAAGCTTTGCAATCAATTAAAAGTCTCAGAATTATTTTAAGTTATGAAGAACCTAGAATCATATAAATGTTACAAAGTTAAAATAAATTCTTTAAATGTATATTTTTAAAGAAACAACTATGTATTTCATGTTTATATGAATCCCCGCTCTGAGGAAAATAATGAGAGTGATGAAACGTCAATCAGCTGAGCAAATATCAACTAGAAGTAGAGTAATTTATTTCCTTTTTGAAAGGAACACTTTTATTTTCAAGTTATCAGGACTGTTTACTACATTTAGAAATCCAATTCTAGTTAAATTTTTCAAATTGACTTTTGGCTGCTCTCTAACTACCCTACTATGGCGTGCAAGAAATTTTCACCTATATGTAGTTTTTGATATTTCATCAGAAATGAATCAAATTTACCCTTTGCTTACGGTGTTCCATGTTGTACCATCACATGCGGTCCACATGTATAAGCAGAAGGTTAAAGAACCTTCTCATATCAAATTGTAAAAGATGCGATCGTTTGTTTTTCAGTTATCCAAGTTTCCTTTTCTGCGTATAAATATTAGCAGTTTAACGAAAACTATTATTAGGGGAATTATAATTTTTTTTACAGCTATGTACATATATCTTTAAAAATGTGTAATACATCCCACTATTTTAAAATTTCGAATTGGAGTATTGTTTATATTTACAGTTTTTCGAAATAAAGGGAATCACAGAGAAATTATGATTTCTTTTGTGGCAACGTACTAAAACTAAGGATATAAAATTTTTTTACTTTTTTGAATTCTTAAATTTTATCTTATAACCGTCTTTGAACAGTCGACCCAGTTTTCGGGTTTACGACTAATTATGTTCAACTCCGTAGCTTTAAAATTTTGAACCCAATCCAGAAGACAAGGAACCTCCTGGATCAAGTATTGGGAGAAATTTGCCTTCGTAGAGGAATTTTTAATGGAACTATCATGCATTTGTGTAATACGGAGAGGAAAACCACGAAAACCTCCCACTGTTAGCCTGACGGCAAGGGGACTCTAACCCATGACCCGTCTACCACTGAGGATATTATGAATCAGCACTGTGGTCTGTGCGAGCCGGGTGGGGAATTCGAATCGAACTGCCATCAGTGGTATTCGAACCCGGTTCACCTCATTGGAAGGCGAATGCTGTATCGCCTGAGCCACCAGGGCTCCGGAGTTATTAAATTAAAAAAATTTGGATTTTTTTTCACATAACCCCGAAAGCTTAGCAAAAAATAAGTATTTCTTCCCATTTTTTTAATCAGAACACAAGCTAAACATTCTCCTTTCATTAAGAAAAAAGATAACAAATCTATTTTAGTATTATTTTAATTAGGGTGCCAATCTTTAAACTCTAATTTTTGCACTAAATTTTTCCTTCTTGATCATATAAGGTGTCTTATTTTTTCTCTCTTTCTTTCGATGATGTTATTCATTTATAAAGTATTACTTGATGTAAGGTGTTATTCAAAATTCTATCACATTAAATTTAAATGTATGGCGAAAAAAAAAATTCCATTACGGTTTTTCGGCTTGAAATTTTATTTTTTATTCTGAGCCTATGCATTTTATAATTTTCTTTTCTTTAATATTGCATTCAATAATTAAAACTTTGTTAATGCGCAAGAAAAATTAAAAGAATAAATAAATAACGTTTTCTTGGTGTGAATTTCCAGCGTTTGTTTCTAAACATATGTATGTAATTATATTTTTATTTAAAATTTTTTAACATTGGTATGTGATTTAAATTTTAGAACGGATGAGCGGCCTTTCATGTATATCATTTTTATAGTAAGAAAAACTAATTCTTTTAATCATTTTATGTCTGAATTGAAGATATTTTTCGCTCTTTGTAGTTTTGTTTAGGAAAAAATATTAGCAATGCACAATTAATTTTGGAGTAAATAAATTATTTTTTTCAAACTTCTCCAATATATTGATTTTAAGGACGGTATAGCCTGGTTGGTAGGGCACTGGCCCATATCCAAGAGGTCGGGGATTCACCGGCCGTAGAGTCCCCCTATAGTAAACTGGCCGTAGAGTCCCCTTATAGTACGGTGACTGATGTGTCGAGTCACAAAGTCCTCCCATAACAAATCATACCTCTATGGGTACTGATCCAGGAGTTTCCGTGTCTTTTGGATTGGCTTAAAATTACGGAGTTGAATATTAGTAGTAGTAAACGCAAAATCGGGTCGCCTGTTCAACGACTCTTATAAAATAAAATTTCTTCATTTTATTGCTTCATAGAGTGCGAATTCATCTAAAAAGAAGTTTCGAGGGTAGATGCGCTAAAGATACCAAGGGGAGTAGTCTATTATATAAAAGTTTGAAAGATATTAAAGTAAAAAATTTATATTATAGACAAGGCGCTAAAAATTATATACAGACAAGACGCTCCTGTGTTTCTTAAAAAGATAAATCCATATTTTAAATTAATGTTTTTAAAGTTTATTTCAAATCATAATTTTTGTTATTACATAACCGTTAAAAATGTGTATTGTTAACGATATTTTTATTAATTATTTAATTCTATTTTCATTTGTTTCTAAAAACTATAAAATCAATTGATGTGATTTTAAATAAAAAAAAATATTCTTTCGAAAGTAGGGAGTATTTCAAATTATATTTCATCTAACTTAATAATCTTTAAAAAAAGATATTTGTACAAAACCATTATAAGAAATATCTGACTCGTAAATTTATAAGGATATTATTTAGGAATATTCCATATATTAGAGCAAATCCTTTCAACTAGCTTTTCAAAGGTAGGTAAACAAATTGTATTTTTTTAATTCTTCAATCACACATAGGTTCAAAAACATTCAAATGAGATTACAGAAGCCATGATGGCTCAGGGGATAGAGTGTTCGTCTTCCGATGAGGTGAACCGGGTTCGAATACCAGCGATGACAGATCGAGATGAATTTCGCATCCGGCTTGCACCGACCATGTAAAATATCCTCACATCCATGTAATATGCTGATGTAAAATATCCTCAGTAGTAGACGAACCATCATGGGTTAGAGTCCCTTTGCCGTGAGGCTAACCGTGGTAGGTTTTCGTGGTTTTCCTCTCCATTTAACGCAAACGCGGGTTAGTTCCATCAAAAAAATCCTCCACGAAGGCAAATATCTACCAATACTTGTTCCAGGAGTTCCCTTGTCTTTTGGATTGGGTCGATTGTTCAACGACGCTCATGTGATTACAGTAAAATGGTCCTTGATGGAGGTTGTTAATTCTTCCATTCATTTCAAAATTGAGTCACATGACTCAATTTTAGTCAGTGTATTTTCCTGAATACCATTTTGGAGTCATGAAAAGACGAATCAATGAATGAAATTTAGCCTCTATAAAAAGGATCCCAACTGATATAATTATGTGCAAAAACAAATTCACCAATTATCAATAATCGAGCCATTTTAAATAAATAAACAGTTAGTTTTTTTTTTATTTAAGTTTGCATTCAATTTTATAACATAAAAATTAATTATATTTGAAAGATGAGGTTTGCTTTTTTAAGATGCTTAGTTTTTTCTAAAATAACTTTTGTTTTTCTAACTTAACTTCCAACTGTAAATCATTAATAGTATCGTCTTTACTGCACTGTGGCTGCAACATGAGGTTGCATCTTTAAAAAGAGTTCTTTAAATAAGTGTCTTACACAAATCATAAATAGTATCGTCTTTAGTGCACTCTGGCTGCAACATGAGGTTGTATCCTCAAAAAGAGTTCTTTAAATAAGTGTCTTACACAAATCATATATAGTATCGTCTTTAGTGCACTCTGGCTGCAGCATGAGGTTGTATCCTCAAAAAGAGTTCTTTAAATAAGTGTCTTACACAAATCATAAATAGTATCGTCTTTAGTGCACTCTGGCAGCAACATGAGGTTGTATCCTCAAAAAGATTTCTTTAAATAAGTGTCTTACACAAATATTTCGTGTTTCCTTGTTCGACCTTTTCCGCATTTTTTTCAGATGTTTGCCCGGTCGCTGGAAGAGGTTTTAATTAACTCTCCTAAAGGTTTTCTTCAGCACAAAGTCTATGGAAGAAAATCAAAAGTGGTCGTAAATAGAGGTGGTCGCAACATAGAGGTGGTCTTTAGAGAGTGTTCCACCGTAATTAAGTTTTTGAGAAGTTCTAGTTAAAATAATTATCACAATTTGCATTTTGGGTAACATTTTTGTTCGCAAACTAATTATAAATATTTGTTCAAATAATTTTCGTCAGATAAAAAACTTAGATTTTTCTTTACCAATAATAACTTAAATTTTAGCAAATTGGAGTCGACTCCAATTTCGAAATCTATAAAATTTTCTTCTACTCCATCAACTCCGACTCCACAGCCCTGAATCTTTCTGACGTTTTCAGATTGTTTTTGTAAAATTAGAAAAAAGGAAAACATGAAAGAAATTTTTCTTT